CCGCCCGGGGAGCAGAGGGGACCCCGTTAGGTCACCCGGGGAGCAGAGGGGACCCCGTTATGTCACCCAGGTATCCAAGCGCATGCGCTTGACGGAGGGGGTGTCCCCCTCGGGCTCGCTGGTGGGTCTGAGGAGGCCCAGGGAGGAGCTGAAATCCGGGCGGGCGGGCTCGTCCCGCTCGGCGTTGCCCTCGTAGGAGCTGGTGTTGCTGCTCAGGCTGTCGAAGAGTAAGAGAAGGAGGAAGAGGAGAAAGAAGAGGAGGAGAAGGAAGAGGAGGAGGAGAAGGAAAAGAAGGAGGAAGAGGAGGAGAAGGAGGCAGAGGAAGAGGAGGAGGAGGAATAGGGGGAGGAGGAAGAGGAGGAGAAGGAGGGAGAAGGAGGAAGAGGAGAAAGAAGAGGAGGAGGAGGGAGAAGGAGGAAGAGGAGGAGGAGGAGGGGGAGGAAGAGGAGAAGTAGGAAGCGGAGGAGGAAGAGAAAGAGGAGGAGGAAGAGGAGGAGGAGGAATAGGGGGAGGAGGAAGAGGAGGAGAAGGAGGGAGAAGGAGGAAGAGGAGAAAGAAGAGGAGGAGGAGGGAGAAGGAGGAAGAGGAGGAGGAGGAGGGGGAGGAAGAGGAGAAGTAGGAAGCGGAGGAGGAAGAGAAAGAGGAGGAGGAGGAAGAGGAGGAGGAATAGGGGGAGGAGGAGGACCATGAGGAGCATACGGGATGGGGAAGAAGAGGAGGATGAGGGCGAGGAGGAAGAGGAGGAGAAGGAGGAAGAAGAGGAGGAAGAAGTGGAGGAGAAGGAAGAGGAGGAGGAAGAGGAGGGGGAGAAGGGGGAGGAAGAGGAGGAATAGGGGGAGGAGGAAGAGGAGGAGAAGGAGGGAGAAGGAGGAAGAGGAGAAAGAAGAGGAGAAGAAGGAAGAGGAGGAGGAGAAGGAAGAGAAGGAGGAAGAGGAGGAGGAGGAGGGGGAGGAAGAGGAGAAGTAGGAAGCGGAGGAGGAAGAGAAAGAGGAGGAGGAGGAAGAGGAGGAGGAATAGGGGGAGGAGGAGGAAAAGGAGGAGGAGGAAGGGGAGGAGGAAGAGGAGGAAGGGGGACAAACAGATAGAGGAGATAACAGGAAGTGTCTCATTATTCATCTTTCCAGTGGCCTTTTACCCTCCAACCCCCACAGAATTCCTAACCCACACCCCCTGCACCTGCATCAGGACCACAAATCTGGATCAGAACACGAATTCGGATTCTGGATCCGGGTTCATAACAAGAATGATGACTCCTTACACCTCCAGAACCACAGTCCATGCACTTCACCATGACACATCCCTGCTCCACCAGCACCCCCCATCCAGCCCCCACCCCACCCACCATTCCCACAGTATCACCCCAAATGCATGGAGCAGGGGGACAGGCTGTGACACCTCCATCCCATGGCCACCTCTATAGCCCAGAGTCCCCCAGGAGCAGGGAACCTCTTCAGCCCCAAACTTCCTGCCAGGCTTTCTGGGGCAGGTCCAGGCAGATGCTGGGGAAGTTGCTGCCTGTCCTGCCTGGAAAACCTGCTCCAGGAAGCACAGGAAAGCACAGAACCTGCTGCACAAATGCCTGGTGCACCCATGAATCTACTGGGAATTCATGCTGGGAATGTCAGGGTCCCCTCAGCTGCCTTTGGGGCAAAGTCACTGAATCCCCCTTTTCAGTTCCTGCCTCTTTTTATCCCGTGGTCTTAGCATGATTGTGGGTAAATTTCTCATCTTTCTTTTGACTAAGATACTTGGAAAAAGCTGCGTGTGTGGGGATGGGTTGAGTTGGAGGGACCTTAAAGATCATCTAAATCCAACCCCCTGCACAGACAGGGACACCTCCCAGCAGCCCAGGCTGCTCCAAGCCCCATCCAACCTGCCCTTCAACACCCCCAGGGATGGGGCAGCCACAGCTTCCCTGGCCAACCTGGCCCAGGCTCTCCCCACCCTCACACTCCACAATTCCCTCCTCAGCTCCAACCTCCAGCTCCCTCTCCCACTTTTCATCCCTCCCCCTCATCCCATCCCTCCCTGCCCTTGTCCCAAGTCCCTCCCCAGCTTTCCTGGAGCCCCTTCAGGCCCTGGAAGCTGCTCTAAGGTCTCCCTGGAGCCTTCTCCTCTCCAGGCTCAACACCCCAACTCTCCCAGCCTGGCTCCAGAGCTGCTCCAGCCCTCCCAGCATCTCCGGGGCCTCCTCTGGACTCTCTCCACCAGCTCCATGTCCTTCCTATGTTGGGGGCTCCAGAACTGGTCACAACACCCCAGGTGGGGTCTCACAAGAGCAACTGCATATACTTTTTCCCTGACATAAAGCAAATACTCTCCAGTATGAAAAGCTGCCCCCTTCCTACCCAGCAGGACCATCTGACTATTTCCAGACACCCTGTTCTGCAGGGACCATCTCCTCTAACTCTGGCTTCCTGTTGGATCTTGGGTTCCCCACGTGAGGTGCAGAGATGGATCCTCCTGCTGCAGCCAGACAGCAAGAAGCAGCTCTCAGAGAGCATCACACTGCCCTGATCCCTGATCTGGGGACCCCAGGGTCATTCCTACAGCAGAGGTAGGGATGGAATTCCCCAAACTTCCCGAGCTGGCTCCTCCTGCAGCTGTGGACACATCTGCTCCTGGAACCCAGTGGAATTGTTGGGGCTCTGCAGTGGGAGGGGGACAACAACCCAGGCCAGGAGCTCCAGTTGGGGCTTGGAAGGTCTGGCACTTGGGGGAGGAATTCCCCATTTCCCTCTTTCCTTTCCCAACCTCCACTGAGTGACCCCTGGTAACTGTTTCACTTACATCAAATTCCCTAATGATACAGGAACCAGGTGCTGCTGCTGCTGCTGTGGCTGCTGCTGCTGCTGTT